TGGCACATCTAGCCACTGGAATTTTTGCCCATTCTTCAAGGCAAAACTGCTCCAGCTCCTTCAAGTTGGATGGGTTCCGCTGGTGTACAGCAATCTTTAAGTCATACCACAGATTCTCAATTGGATTGAGGTCTGGGCTTTGACTAGGCCATTCCAAGACATTTAAATGTTTCCCCTTAAACCACTCGAGTGTTGCTTTAGCAGTATGCTTAGGGTCATTGTCCTGCTGGAAGGTGAACCTCCGTCCCAGTCTCAAATCTCTGGAAGACTGAAACAGGTTTCCCTCAAGAATTTCCCTGTATTTAGCGCCATCGATCATTACTTCAATTCTGACCAGTTTCCCAGTCCCTGCCGATGAAAAACATACCCACAGCATGATGCTGCCACCACCATGCTTCACTGTGGGGATGGTGTTCTCGGGGTGATGAGAGGTGAGCTTTGCAGCTCCTTCAAGGTTATCTTTGGTCTCTTTGTTGTCTCAGTGATTAATGCCCTCCATGCCTGGTCTGTGAATTTTGGTGGGCGGCCCTCTCTTGGCAGGTTTGTTGTGGTGCCAGATTCTTTCCATTTTTTAATAATGGATTTAATGGTGCTCCATGGGATGTTCAAAGTTTCTGATATTTTTTTATAACCCAACACTGATCTGTACTTCTCCACAACTTTGTCCCTGACCTGTTTGAAGAGCTCCTTGGTCTTCATGGTGCCGGTTGCTTGGTGGTGCCCCTTGCTTAGTGGTGTTGCAGACTCTGGGGCCTTTCAGAACAGGTGTATACAGTGAGGGAAAAAAGTATTTGCTCCCATGCTGATTTTGTACGTTTTCCCACTGACAAAGACATGATCAGTCTATAATTTTAATGGTAGGTTTATTTGAACAGTGAGAGACAGAATAACAACAAAAAATCCAGAAAAACGCATGTCAAAAATGTTAGAAATTGATTTGCAAAACATGACTTAGTACTTGGTGGCAAAACCCTTGTTGGCAATCACAGAGGTCAGACGTTTCTTGTAGTTGGCCACCAGGTTTGCACACATCTCAGGAGGGATTTTGTCCCACTCCTCTTTGCAGATCTTCTCCAAGTCATTAAGGTTTCGAGGCTGACGTTTGGCAACTCGTACCTTCAGCTCCCTCCACAGATTTTCTACGGGATTAAGGTCTGGAGACTGGCTAGGCCACTCCAGGACCTTAATGTGCTTTTTCTTGAGCCACTCCTTTGTTGCCTTGGCCGTGTGTTTTGGGTTATTGTCATGCTGGAATACCCATCCACGACCCATTTTCAATGCCCTGGCTGAGGAAAGGAGGTTCTCACCCAAGATTTAACAGTACATGGCCCTGTCCATTGTCCCTTTGATGCGGTGAAGTTGTCATGTCCCCTTAGCAGAAAAACACCCCCAAAGCATAATGTTTCCACCTCCATGTTTGACGGTGGGAATGGTGTTCTTGGGGTCATAGGCAGCATTCCTCCTCCTCCAAACACGGCGAGTTGAGTTGATGCCAAAGAGCTCGATTTTGGTCTCATCTGACCACAACACTTTCACCCAGTTCTCCTCTGAATCATTCAGATGTTCATTGGCAAACTTCAGACGACCCTGTATATGTGCTTTCTTGAGCAGGGGGACCTTGCGGGCACTGCATGATTTCAGTCCATCACGGCGTAGTGTGTTACCAATTGTTTTCTTGGTGACTATGATCCCAGCTGCCTTGAGATCATTGCCAAGATCCTCCCGTGTAGTTCTGGGCTGATTCCTCACCGTTCTCATGATCATTGCAACTCCACAAGGCGAGATCTTGCATGGAGCCCCAGGCCGACGGAGATTGACAGTTTTTTTGTGTTTCTTCCGTTTGCGAATAATCGCATCAACTGTTGTCACCTTCTCAACAAGCTGCTTGCCGATGGTCTTGTAGCCCATTCCAGCCTTGTGTAGGTCTACAATCTTGTCCCTGACATCCTTGGAGAGCTCTTTGGCCTTGGCCATGGTGGAGAGTTTGGAAACGGATTGATTGATTGCTTCTGTGGACAGGTGTCTTTTATACAGGTAACAAACTGAGATTAGGAGCACTCCCTTTAAGAGTGTGCTCCTAATCTCAGCTCGTTACCTGTATAAAAGACACCTGGGAGCCAGATATTTTTCTGATTGAGAGGGGGTCAAATACTTATTTCCCTCATTAAAATGCAAATCAATGCATAACATTTTTGACATGCGTTTTTCTGGATTTTTTTGTTGTTATTCTGTCTCTCACTGTTCAAATAAACTTACCATTAAAATTATAGACTGATCATTTCTTTGTCAGTGGGCAAAAGTACAAAATCAGCAGGGGATCAAATACTTTTTTCCCTCACTGTATGTGAGGCTCCATATCGCAGTTATAGCTTAGCTACTGTAAAGTGTAGCAAGGAATTTTTCAACTAACCTGTTCTTGGAGATACTTTCTTCATTCTTGATTCAGGAAAAAAGTGTATCTTATAAATGTCCAGTTGCAGGTGGTTCTACAAAAACCAGAGACAAATCTTAAAGATATTAAGTCTATGTTTTGTACCGCGCAAGGAGGTTCCTCGCCATCTTCCTCGCCATCTTAGCTGCCGCACATCTAGGATTTCCCAGCATCGTTGCAGGATCTAGTCGTTTCTATGTTTTTTGTAGAACCACCTGCAACTGGACATTTATAAGAAACACTTTTTTCCCGAATCGAGAACGAAGAAAGTATTGCCAAGAACAGGTTAGTTGAAAAGTTATTTGCTACACTTTACAGTATCTAAGCCGTAATGGCGATATGGAGCACCACATATCACGTTACAGTTCCGTAGCTAGGGTTGCTGGGCAAAGTTAAACTGGCATTATGACTAGCATCCTCTTAGACAGTCCCTCTATATCTAACCAATGTTGTATATGAACACACATACACACAACATACGCACGCACACTCTCATTGACACTGTCTCTTTCTATAAACCACTCTCTCATTCGCTCTCCAGTTGTCCAGAGGATGGCAGTCTGTCTCTCCCCTCTGCTACCCAGAGGGAGGTGCTCAGAACACCACTGATGGCCATACAGAATAAAATGGCTGTTGTTGACAAGACCAAACCCTCCTGGGAGAAAGGGCATCTCACATCGGGGCGCAGGCCCAGAAAACTGAGAAACAGATAAAAGAGGAATTTGAGAGGCTGCGTCTCTTCCTGAGAAAGGAGAGGCAGAGAGGATAGCCAAGCTGAGGGAGGAAGAGGAGGAGAAGATTAAAAGGATGTCATCTCTGTCTAAAATAATCAGGGAGGTAGAGGAGAAGCTGTCAGGTGATGAGGCCGCGTTCCTGCAAAGCTACAAGACTACGAAGATGAAAGCAGAGATTCTCCTCTTGACCCTCCGCTTGTCTCTGGAGCTCTGGTCGACGTGGCCAAACACCTGGGCACCAGGATCTGACCAGCCTAAGAATGAAGACTGAGGATAAGAGTCTTCCAGACAACCCAGAGAGGTTTAGTGGGAACTTTGACATTCTGGGTTCAAAGGGATTCACCTCAGGGATTCACAGCTGGGAGGTGGAGGTGGGGGACAATGACGACTGGTTATTAGTGGTGGCAAAAGAGTCCATTAGCAGGAAAAACAGTTCTCCAAAAAGCTATCAGGATAAACAGTTCACTGTAGGGGTGCTTGATGGTGTACCAGAGACAATCAAGCAGAAGCCACAGAGGATCATGGTTTAGCTAGACTCGGACAAAGCAAAGCTGTCCTTCTATGCTAGTTCTGCTGTTTACGTCCGATTACAGCACCTACACACCTTTAACCACACATTTACAGAGAAGGCGTATCCATACTTCTGTAGATCAAAGGCTGAACCACCACAGATCATAACAACTGAGGTCACTGTGTGTAAAACCATACTCTGCTCTAAATGAGCCAAGAGTGTGCAAAGCTGTCATCAAGGCAAAGGGTGGCGAGTGGCGCAGCGGTCTAAGGCACTGCATCTCAGTGCTTGAGGTGTCACTACAGACCCCTTGGTTCGATTCCAGGCTGTATCACAACCGGCCGTGATTGGGAGTCCCATAGGGCGGTGCAAAATTGGCCCAGCGTCGTCCAGGTTTGGCCGGTGTAGGCCGTCATTGTAAATAAGAATTTGTTCTTAACTGACTTGCCTAGTTAAATAAAAATAAAAATATATTTTGATTTGTTTAACACTTTTTGGGTTTCTACATGATTCCATTTGTTATTTCATAGTTTTGAAGTCTTCACTATTATTCTACAATGTAGAAAAAAGTAAAAAATAAAGAAAAACCCTTGAATGAGTAGGTGTGTCCAAACATTTCACTGGTACTGTACATTGATAGATTATTAAAGTCTACAATTTCAAATGTTCCTGGCAAGAAATTCTTTCAAATAAAGTTTTTGGCATAAGTAACAAAAAATTGATGTATTATTGACAGATACTGTTAACCAACATGTTTATGTACATTAGAAGGACATTGAAAGTGTGAAGGTACCCTTCCTTTTAACCTAAACCTCAGGATGAAAGAAAGTAGCAAATGGAAACAGCGTTTCCCCACTCAGAATGCCAAACTACCTTAGCTCATTTCATGTTCCACTCCATTTTAAGACTGACCCCTAGCCTACAAACACACACACACACACTCTCACACACACACTGGATCAGACAAACAGACGTCAGGGCCATGTGTTACTGATCCATCTTCGTCTGCTGTCTCGACACCCCCTACCTCTCCTCCCTCCCTCTTTCATTCCTCCCTTCTCTTGTGTTTGATGCCGATATTTGAGCACTGATACCCTCCCATACCTACACACACACTCACAGACATCTGTGTATTCAGGGATGTGACACGATTCCCTATTCCCTATCTGAATGTTCTATAATGTTCCGTCCTCCTGAACAGGCCGAGTGTCAGACAGTCGGCTGTGATCCTAATTGGTCATCCTCATGTCTAATCTCTGTTTGGCCATCACTCACTCTCACTCACTGGACTGAAAACGCCCCTCTGTGCCTCTCTCTCTTTCAGGTATAATCCACCAGATGAAGGGGGAGTACGATGCAGCGTTGAAGCTCCACAAGGCCCACCTGTGTTTGGTCCAGGAGCTGGGGGACTATGCTGCTCAGGGCAGGGCCTATGGGAACATGGGAAATGCCTACAACGCTCTGAGGATGTACGACCAAGCTGTACGCTACCACAGGCAAGAACTGCACATATCACTCGAGGTGAGGATGCACACTTGAACACACACACGTGAACACACACACACAGAGCACTTTGGGGACATACAGTGCCTTGCAAAAGTATTCATCCCCCTTGGAGTTTTTCCTATTTTGTTGCATTACAACCTGTAGTTTAAATTTACTTTTATTTGGATTTCATGTAATGGACATACACAAAATAGTCAAAATTGGTGAAGTGAAATGAAAAAAATATCTTCTTTAAAAAAAATCAAAAAAATTAAGAATGGAAAAGTGGTGCGTGCATATGTATTCACCCCCTTTGCTATGAAGCCCCTAAATAATATCTGGTGCAACCAATTACCTTCAGAAGTCACATAATTAGTTAAATAAAGTCCACCTGTGTGCAATCTAAGTGTCACATGATCTCAGTATATATACACCTGTTCTGAAAGGCCCCAGAGTCTGCAACACCACTAAGCAAGGGGCACCACCAAGCAAGCGGCACCATGAAGACCAATGAGCTCTCCAAACAGGTCAGGGACAAAGTTGTGGAGAAGTACAGATCAGGGTTGGGTTATAAATAAATATATGAAACTTTGAACATCCCACAGAGCACCATTAAATCCATTATAAAAAAATTGAAAGAATATGGCACCACAACAAACCTGCCAAGAGAGGGCCACCCACCAAAACTCACGGACCAGGCAAGGCGGGCATTAATCAGAGGCAACAAAGAGAACAAAGATAACCCTGAAGGAGCTGCAAAGCTCCACAGCGGAGATTGGAGTATCTGTCCATAGGACCACTTTAAGCCGTACACTCCACAGAGCTGGGCTTTACAGAAGAGTGGCCAGAAAAAAGCCAATGCTTAAAGTTTGGTGTTCGCCGAAAGGCATGTGGGAGACTCCCCAAACATATGGAAGAAAGTCTGGTCAGATGAGACTAAAATGTAGCTTTTTGGCCATCAAGGAAAACACTATGTCTGGCGCAAACCCAACACCTCTCATCACCCCGAGAACACCATCCCCACAGTGAAGCACGATGGTGGCAGCATCATGCTGTGGGGATGTTTTTCATCGGCAGGGACTGGGAAACTGGTCAGAATTGAAGAAATGATCGATGGCGCTAAATACAGGGAAATTCTTGAGGGAAACCTGTTTCAGTCTTCCAGAGATTTGAGACTGGGACGGAGGTTCACCTTCCAGCAGGACAATGACCCTAAGCATACTGCTAAAGCAACACTTGAGCGGTTTAAGGGGAAACATTTAAATGTCTTGGAATGGCCTAGTCAAAGCCAGACCTCAATCCAATTGAGAATCTGTGGTATGACTTAAAGATTGCTGTACACCAGCGGAACCCATCCAACTTGAAGGAGCTGGAGCAGTTTTGCCTTGAAAAATGGGCAACAATCCCAGTGGCTAGATGTGCCAAGCTTATAGAGACATACCCCAAGAGACTTGCAGCTGTAATTGCTGCAAAAGGTTGCTCTACAAAGTATTGACTTTGGGGGGGGTGAATAGTTATGCACGCTCAAGTTTTCTTGTTTGTTTCACAAGATAAACTATTTTGCATCTTCAAAGGGGTAGGCCTGTTGTGTAAATCAAATGTTACAAACCCCCCAAAAATCAATTTTAATTCCAGGTTGTAAGGCAACAAAATAGGAAAAATGCCAGGGGGGGTGAATACTTTCGCAAGCCACTGTACGACCAGGCTGTACGGTAACGTAGGTAGCAGATATCACTGGAGGCAGACACACACACACCTGGGACATTTTCAGTAAGAAACGATGTGGAACGTTGCAGATAGAAATGCCATGACTAGAGCTGACGTGATTCCTTATTCTATATACCAAAGAGGTATGTTTGTTCTACATCATACATTTATATCTGAACGTTGGCCAACGTTGTGTCCTGCTGAATGCGGCCCTGGTATTGACCTTTCTTTCCTCTCTCAGGTGAATGACCGTCCCTCCCAGGCCTCTACCCATGGTAACCTGGCTGTAGCCTATCAGGCGCTGGGCGCTCACGACCAGGCTCTCCAGCACTACCTGCACCACCTGACCATCGCACGCGAGCTACGAGACACGCAGAGCATGGCCAGGGCACTAGGTAACGGCTGGACAGGGGGACAAAGTAATTCAAAAAAATATTAAATATACTTTATTGATTCCTATAGGTAAAGTGTGTGTGTGTGTGTGTGTGTGTGTGTGTGTGTGTGTGTGTGTGTGTGTGTGTGTGTGTGTGTGTGTGTGTGTGTGTGTGTGTGTGTGTGTATAGGTAACCTGGGTAACTTCCACTGCTGTAGAGGGGAGTATGTCCAGGCAGTTCCATACTACCAGCAGTACCTGACCCTGTCACCTCAGCTACAGGACCTGGAGGGAGAGGGCAAGGTCTGCCACAACCTGGCCTACACACACTACTGCCTGGGACAGTACAGGGAGGCCGTCAGGTAGGACACATTCTTCATACATCTGTATGTATAATAATAACTCATAAAGATTGTCCCAACCTCTCCAAATAAATACAGAAAGGTCTCAACATTGTGAAGAAAATTAGCCACACACTGTTAGCCATTTTCTTATTTTTTCCATACAGGTATTATGAGCAGGACCTGGCCCTGGCTAAAGACCTGGGTGATAAGTTGTCCCAGGCTAAAGCCTACTGTAACCTGGGTCTGGCCTACAAAGCCCTGAGGGAATATAGCAAGGCTGAGGACTGTCAGAGATACCTGCTGTCCCTGGCTCAGGCTCTGAACAACACACAGGTAGAGATAGTAATTAACACAACTGTGAATGGAGGAATGGGTCAGAAGGGGGTCTGCGTGTGTGTTGGGGGGGAGTTGACGGGGATGGTGAGATTCTACATTAAAACTCTGTGTGTGTGTGTCCAGGCGGTGTTCCGTGCCCTGGGGAACTTGGGGGATGTGTGTGTGTGTCGGGGTGATATGGCCGGGGCAGTGAGGTTCTACCAGCAGCAGCTCACCCTGGCTCAGGAGGTGAAAGGTCACAAGATGGAGGCTGACGCCTACTCAGCGCTAGGCTCCGCCCACAGGTTGGCTTCTAGTCCAGTTAGCATCTTAAAAAAGTTGAATTTATTAACTTCTCATATGTTTTAGGTTAATATTGACTGGGAAGTAATAGTAATGTCCTCCCCCAGACTCCTCTGTCAGTACGACCTGGCCCTGTCCTTCCACCAGCAGGAGCTGTCTGCCCGCACTGCTCTAGACGACCAGCGGGGGCAGTGTGGTGCTCTGGGCCGCCTGGCAGCCGTCCACATGGCCCTGACGGACTACCCCACAGCCTTCCAGTGTTACCAGGCCCAGCTCACCCTGGCACAGGACCTCAGAGATGCCTGCGTGGAGGCACAGGTCCAGGGCAACATGGGCATCGCCAAAATGAACATGGGCGTCCTGGAGGAGGCCATTGGGTATTTTGAGCAGCAGTTGGCCATGTTGGAGCAGCTGAGTGGGGCTGAGTGTGTGCTGGACAGAGGCAGGGCCTACGGGAACCTAGCAGACTGTTATGACTCTCTGGGAGACTTTGAGGAAGCTATAAAGTACTGTGAGATGTTTCTGACTGTGGCTCAGAGTCTCAACCATGTTCAGGACCAGGAGAGAGCCTACAGGGGACTGGGCAACGCACACAGGTAAAAGACACAGACACACACACTCTTTCTCACTCTCTCTGTCTGTCTGTCGCTTCCTCTTTATCTCTCTCTATTCTTTCTCTTTTAACCCCCCTCTCCTTTTCTCTCTCAATCTTTTCCTCTCTTTTTCTCTTTCTTTCTTTCTTTATTTCTTTCTTTCTTTCTTTCTTTCTTTCTTTCTTTCTTTCTTTCTTTCTTTCTTTCTCTCTTTCTTTCTCTCTCTCTCTCTCTCTCTCTCTCTCTCTCTCTCTCTCTCTCTCTCTCTCTCTCTCTCTCTCTCTCTCTCTCTCTCTCTCTGCTGGTCCCTGGTGAGGGAAGGACTGGGTAATGAAATAATAAGTAATGTACTTAAACTAATAAAAGCCACAGCTTGATGTTAGTTTGCAGACACAGCCTCTTTTACATTCCATCACCCAAAGCTGTACACATTTATTTTCATCTCATACTAGCAAAATTAACATGTCCTGAAGTTATTGCCTAATTGGTTTTCTTGTTAGCTTTCTTAAGTTGCTCATATAGCTCTGTGAAAAACTAGAAACCTTTGCTGTTTTGAGATACTGAGTGGAGTGTTTTATGGTGTGACTTATGTGTACTTTGTGTACTTAACATGAAATGCATTTATGTAAATGATTGGTAGGGTTCGTTCTGAGTGCATTAGTGACTCATCTGCATCTGTACCTACATTAGCAACTCTAAAGAGAGAAATAGGGGTAAACAAAAATAACTCCTTCCTTCCTGCTCTCCTGTCAGATCTCTAGGTAGTCTCCAGCAGGCGTTGGTGTGTTTTGAGAAGCGTCTGGTGGTGGCCCATGAGCTGGGTGGATTGGGAGGTGGGGAGGGAGGAAGTGGAGGAACGAAGGCCCAGGCCCAGGCATATGGGGAGCTGGGAGACCTACACAGCCAGCTGGGGAACTATGAACAAGCCATATCCTGCCTGGAGCATCAGCTCAACATCGCCTGCACCGCAGGGGTAAGACTTCTACCTCTCGAATGAATGAATGACTGATGGGATGGAGGTAGGAATAAAGACCTGTAGTGGAGGTGGCAGGTAGCATTGTTGCTATATAAACACTGAGTGTACAAAACATTATGAACACCTTCCTAATATTGAGTTGCACCCCCTTTTGCCCTCAGAACAGCCTCAATTCGTCGGGGCATAGACTCTACAAGGTGTCGAAAGCGTTCCACAGGGATGCTGGCCCATGTTGACTCCAATGCTTCCCACAGTTGTGTCAAGTTGGCTGGATGTCCTTTGGGTGGTGGACCATTCTTGATACACACTAGAAACTGTTGAGCGTGAAAAACTCAGCAGCGTTGCAGTTCTTGACACACTCAAACCGGTGCGCCTGGCACCTACTACCAACCCTGTTCAAGGGAACTTGCCCATTCACCCTCTGAATGGCACACATACACAATCCATGTCTCAATTGTCTCAAGGCTTAAAAATCATTCTTTAATCTGTCTCCTCCCCTTCATCTACACTGGTTGAAGTGGATTTAACAAGTGACATCAATAAGGGATCGTAGCTTTCACCTGGATTCACCTGGTCAGTCTATGTCATGGAAAGAGCAGGTGCTCCTAATGATATACAGTGGCGATTTTAGCATGTAAATCTTGGTGGGGCAAACCAAAAAGAATTGGGGGGATGCATGCCAGCAAAGCCACTACACAACACAACACTAAACAATACATCCATTGCACTATAACGGTGACAAAAGGTGCCCACAAACTGTTAGGGCCTACACAAAGCTGTGCCAACAGCAGAGCTTTCTTTTCAGGACCATGGAGTGAATCCTTACCACCGCTACACTTGGCTATCAGCGGAGCCTTGTCTGGCAGCGAAACAGTTCATTCAGCCTCATTTACTGCCTTTTTAAAAAACATACAGTACCAGTCAAAGGTTTGGACACACCTACTCATTCAAGGGTTTTCTTTATTTTTTCTATTTTCTACATTGTAGAATAATAGTGAAGACATCAAAACTATGAAATAACACATATGGAATCATGTAGTAACCAAAAAAGTGTTAAACAAATCAAAATATATTTTAGATTTTACATTCTTCAAAGTAGCCTTGATGACAGCTTTGCACACTCTTTACATTATTTCAACCAGCTTCATGAGGAATGCTTTTCCAACGGTCTTGAAGGAGTTCCCACACATGCTGAGCACTTGTTGGCTGCTTTTCCTTCACTCAAACCATCTCAATTGAGGTTGGGTGATTGTGGAGTCCAGGTCATCTGATGTAGCACTCCATCACTCTCCTTCTTGGTCAAATAGCCCTTACCAGCCTGGAGGTGTGTTTTGGGTCATTGTCCTGGTGAAAAACAAATGATAGTCCCACTAAGCGCAAACCAGATGGGATAGCGTATCGCTGCAGAATGCTGTGGTAACCATGCTGGTTAAGTGTGCCTTGAGTTCTAAATAAACACTGACAGTGTCACCAGCAAAGCACCCCCACACCATCACACCTCCTCCTCCATGCTTCACGGTGGGAACTACACATGCGGAGATCATCTGTTCACCTACTCTGCGTCTCACAAAGACACGGCAGTTGGAACCAAAAATCTCCAATTTGGACTCATCAGACCAAAGGACAGATTTCCACCGGTCTAATGTCCATTGCTCGTGTTTCTTGGCCCAAGCAAGTCTCTTCTTCTTATTGGTGTCATTTAGTAGTGGTTTCTTTGCAGCAATTCGACCATGAAGGCATGATTCACGCAGTCTCCTCTGAACAGTTGATGTTGAGATGTGTCTATTACTTGAATTTTGTGAAGCATTTATTTGGGCTGCAATTTCTGAGGCTGGTAACTGTAATGAGCTTATCCTCTGCAGCAGAGGTAACTCTGGGTCTTCCATTCCTGTGACGGTCCTCATGAGAGCCAGTTTCATCATAGTGCTTGATGGTTTTTGCGATTGCACTTGAAGAAACTTTCAAAGTTCTTGAAATGTTCCGTATTGACTGACCGTCATGTCTTAATGTAATGATGAACTGTCGTTTCTCTTTGCTTTTTTGAGCTGTTCTTGCCATTATATGGACTTGGTCTTTTACCAAACCAGGTGACTACCTCATGAAGCTGGTTGAGAGAATGCCAAGGGTGTGCAAAGCTGTCATTAAGGCAAAGGGTGGCTATTTGAAGAATATAAAATATAAAATATATGTATGTATGTATGTATGTATATATATATGTGTGTGTGTTTATAAATCTGTTATAGATATGTTATAAATCTGTTATAGATGTGTTATAAATCTATATGCTATAACTATAATATATAATATAATATATTATGTTCTAAACCTGTTCCTCCCAGGACCGAGCATTAGAGGGCGAAGCAAGCGGGGCGCTGGGTGGAGTGTACCAGCTGATGGGAGAGAACGAGACAGCTCTACAGGTTGGTGCTGTTCTTTTAATGGTGTTATTATATTCCCCATGCAGTGGTCCATTGTTTGTCTGTCTGTGTCCATTTGTCCATCCATCCATCTCTCTCTCTCTCTCCAGTGGCACCAGAGGGCATTAGAGATTGCGGAGGAAACAGGAAGTGTGAGGAGTCAGGGGAGGGCCTACGGGAACCTGGGACTGACCTATGAGGCGCTGGGAAACTACGAAAGGGCCGTGGCCTGTCAGGTGAACACACACACTCTATGGTCACAGATTATCCATTATATTGACCAGATACTCTAACAATGAAAATAAATGTCT